CCAATTTGAAGGCACATGCCCAATGTTGTTTCTTATCCATTTTACTCGAAGGCCTTAATTGACACAAGGTGTGAGACTCCTATCATTAATTTCGACATCTGTTGAATTTGCTCCAATTTGAAGGCACATGCCCAATGTTGTTTCTTATCCATTTTACTCGAAGGTCTTAACTGCCACAAGGTGTGAGACTCCTATCATTAATTTCGACATCTGTTGAATTTGCTCCAATTTGAAGGCACATGCCCAATGTCGTTTCTTATCCATTTTACTCGAAGGCCTTAACTGCCACAAGGTGTGAGACTCCTATCATTAGTATTAACATCTGTTGAATTTGCTCTTGAGCATCTTTCCTCAAAAATTATATAGATCTCTGCATTCTGATCATTCAGCATTACAAGACTTTTACTAGTTCCATTACATATTTTTCAACTGTTTGGATTAAATTAAGGATACTTATTAGAGATAACTATTGTAAAGCCGTCTGTGTAAGTAAGCTTTGAAAGGTAAACCATGATATATTAATATTGTTTTTGTTTTTTCAGTTATGACTTTAAGTTTAGAGCATTTCTTGTTAACCTTGAACTCCTTTTGTTACACATTAAAAATCCTAAAATTATCTGTTATGATATTAATGAGTTATTTATCCTGCCAAATAATAATTGAAATATTCAGGACTTTAAGATTTAAATCTGTAATCTCCAGTTATTATTGAATAAAATAATAAAATAAAATATACAATGTTGTTATAAGTTGGCAAACAATGATTTGTAAGTATAATAAAGTGAAATGTTATTGGAGGGAAAAATATTAAATGTTTCGACAGGTGTCTTCAGACTAATGTTCTGTCAATACATGAAGTATGTTCTCCCAATAATAAATCCCTTTATTATGCTTACAAAGTATTGTTTGCTAACTTATTATTATATTACCATAATGTGCTTCCTCACTCAAGTATACACAGTTTTATTTAGAACTTATTTAAACGTTACTTTAGTTTATTTTATCAATAATTTTTTTCACAGGATGAAGGAATACCAAGAAGAAGAAGGGAATACATAAAAAAGAAATACAAGCAAGAAATTTCCCTATCTTTGCGCAGACAGCTTTCATCAGCACAGAAGATTGACACAGAAATAAATTATTCAGATATATTTAGTTCTGATGATGATGGCTTTTCCCCAGTAAGATTTTTAAAATGTGTTTTCTAAAATAAAGATAGTTTTACAAATACTTATTCCTACCAACTGTAGGGCACTTTAGCAAAGCTTCACTAATCAGTGCTTCATGGATTATTAATTATTTCTAGAATAACATACTCAAAGGGGAAAAAAATGTGTTTTTCTTAAATTGAGTAAGGGTTTTATATTTCACTGAATTGATGTTATAAATTTGAAACCTAAAAGACTTTTTTTTATAAACTATTTTTAAGAAGCAAAATATTTTATTCATTCACAAAAACATGGATATCTAAACTTTCATTAATCCTTTTTATAATGTATATAAAGTCATCCCTGTAATATACGTGTTCAAAGTAGATTAGAAGTGTTTTGTCATATTGATGTTTATACATGTTCAAAGTAGATAAGAAATGTTTTGTCATATTAGCGTATATACGTGTTCAAAGTAGATAAGAAGTGATTTGTCATATTAGTGTATATATACGTGTTCAAAGTAGATTAGAAGTGTTTTGTCATATTAGTGTATATACGTGTTCAGAGTAGATTAGAAGTGATTTGTCATATTAGTGTTTATACGTGTTCAAAGTAGATTAGAAGTGTTTTGTCATATTAGCGTATATACGTGTTCAAAGTAGATAAGAAGTGATTTGTCATGTTAGTGTTTATACGTGTTCAAAGTAGATAAGAAGTGATTTGTCGTATTAGTGTTTATACGTGTTCAAAGTAGATTAGAAGTGATTTGTCATATTAGCGTATATACGTGTTCAAAGTAGATAAGAAGTGATTTGTCATGTTAGTGTTTATACGTGTTCAAAGTAGATTAGAAGTGTTTTGTCGTATTAGTGTATATACGTGTTCGAAGTAGATTAGAAGTGTTTTGTCGTATTAGTGTATATACGTGTTCGAAGTAGATTAGAAGTGATTTGTCATATTAGCGTATATACGTGTTCAAAGTAGATTAGAAGTATTTTGTCATATTAGTGTTTATAGTGTTCAAAGTAGATTAGAAGTGTTTTGTCGTATTAGTGTTTATACGTGTTCGAAGTAAATTAGAAGTGTTTTGTCGTATTAGTGTTTACCACAAATTATTTTAGTCTGTAGCTTAAACAAAATATATTTTTTTGTTTTAATGTGATTGCATTTAATATGTGGCCAGGTGGTTAGAGTGCTCGACTTGCAATCTGTGGGTCGCAGGTTCAAATCCCCGTCACACCAAACCTGCTCGCCCTTTCAGCCGTGGGGGCATTATAATGTAAT